ACAAGCTCTCCACCACATCACAGGGTTTGTTTGCCCAATTCCTTTCCCTGGACAAGAGCGCAATGTAGTCCATTTATATGCATACAGGATGAGTGCATAATTTGCTTGACTGCGTAACACAATTCCAGTTCTAATTTGTTATCCATTACTTATCCTGTAACAAACATTCATTTTCTATGTATTAGTTAAATGCATAAATCACTTAAGTGCGTGACATCTTTCAACCCAATTGTCTACTTTGAAATTCATTTTACTCCAGTAAATGTAATAGTATTAGTCTGCTTTGTAACTAATTGTATTCTGTTTAATTGAGCCAGAAAAAGCAAAGGGGAAGCAGCTCTCAAAGGGCAGCTACAAGAAGCCTTGAAAACAACAGGGACTAATCAGTTCCACAGCCTCTATATCCCATCATCGTCAAGGCTTCATGAAGTACTTATCACCCCCAGTTACACCTGCCATCTATTGGAACGGTGCTTTAAACATAGGGTGGTACAGAAATATTATGCAATGTGTATTCTGTTGAAGTGTGTAGCCTCGGGACTGAAAAAAGGCTATGCACTTATCCAGAGCATCATTCATTTTTCCCAGCAATGCAAACAATGCTCCTTAACCATGCCGTGCTGTCACTGCTGTGGTGTTAGTAGCCCCAAAACTAGCCAGCTCTCCTAAATTTCAAGACTTTTACTAGCAGCCCTGGAGCTTGCCTATTAGGAATCAGACCTCAGTTCTCCAGCAGCTTTCTAATTCCTTACCAGTAAGACGGTAAGTTATCTTCCTGAAGTCTTCATTCACTATAAGCTTTCCAACTTTTAGAACAGATGCAGGGTTTTTTGAGACAGCAACCTTCAGCACCATGTAGCCTCAATTTACATGTGCTTTTGGAACACAGTTCATTCTGTGAAACCTATGAATCTTTTGAAGACTGAGCAACAGTCTTGCTTCCCTACATACAAAAACTAGCAAGATAATTATTCCTTTTAATTTGGCTTATCTACCTGGCCATCCCAAACTCAAGTATTTTAAGTTTAAGCATTATTATTTTGTGAAAGAAGTTGAAAAAAATAAATCCATCCTAAAAGGAATTAATAAAAATAATGGATAAAACAGGGAGAGATCTGCAGGAACATGTAGTAATGTGCAAGGTTAAGTGAGGCTATTTAGCTATTGGAATAATGTACCTAGAATGATTACAAATCATTAAATGAAAAAAAAAAATGTTATTTCTAAAAGAAGACAAGCCCATAACTTTTGTATGAGTTAATACAGAAGTTACTAGTTTATAACCTGTGTTTTGCACATAATATTAGATTATAATGGCTTTAAAAATCTATCCATTAATAAAAGAATGCCATGCAGTCCAATTCTATTTCATGGATAGAATTCAGTGATAAATTATACAGATTTCACAAAACAGTATGCCATTATTTATTACTAGCCAATTGACCACAAGAATGATGGGGAGAGAGGGTGGGGATGGAGCCCTGTGGCCCCGTCCCTCTCACATCCGGGCCTGTTCCCCCCTTCCTTCCTGATGCCAGGCCTGTTCCCCCCATCCCCGCCGCAGCAGTGTGGGGAGGGGAAGAGTGGACCCAGGCCTGAAGCGGGGGAGGACAAGGCCTGAACTTGGGGAGAAGCTGGGCTGCTGCGGCAGGGAGTGGAGCAGCAGGCCTGGGCCGACTTGGTGGTAGTAGGGGGATGAGAGGAATGGGTTTAGGGCCGACGCAGGGGACGGAGGTTGGGGAGGAAGCCTGCTCCTCCCCTCCCCCAGCCACTGCTGTGTCAGGCTGCATCAGGCAGGGTCGGCTGCTCCCTCGCCCTGCTGTCGGGTCCACTCTCCGCTTTCCCCACCGCTGTGGTGCATCCGCTCCTTCCCCTCCACTCTGCATCAGGCCCGCTCCTCCCCCCACTGCCTCTGGGTTGGCCCTGCAGGAGGCGACAATGGGAGGGGGAAGGGCCTGTCAAAGCCAGCGCCAGTGGTCTCACCCCCATGCGGCATCTTGACCCCGCTCCCCCTCCCACGCTACCATCTCCAAGGAGCAAGGTGGGGAGTGAAGCCAGCTCCTGTGTCCTTGCCTCTGCCCCGCCCCCTTTGCTCCATTGTCGCCACCTACAGTGAGCAGAGTGGGGGGAGGGTGCGGGTGGGTTGAGGCCAGCAGTGTTGGCACTGCTGGCCTCGCCCCACCTGTTCTGTCTGCTCCATTGCTGTCGTCTCCAAGGAACAGGGCAGGGAGGCGAGGCCAGCGCAGCCAATCAGAGCATGAATAAAGTGTTATGGACAGACAGACAGACAGACAGATTAAAGCTTTTATAATGTTACAATTATTTGTAAAACAAAACATTTATTTTTTCCTAAATTATTTGCAAACAATGTGTTAAATGACAAATCATCATGTAAAACCTAGCTTTTATCCAGTAAAAAACCCAGATTAAGCTTGTATCTAAGGACTTACACATCTAAGACAGGGGTGGACAAAATACGGTTTAACAAGGGAGTCTATCCGGCCCACAGCAGGTCCCTTTGGTCCTGCCCAGCCCAGACAGGGGGCAGCTCTGGCCATAGAGCATTTTGCTGGTCCTGCCACCCCCATGTGCAGAGGCAGGGCAGGGGTGGCACAGGGGTTGGTCTCAGCTTCCTGGTAGTCCCTGCAGAAGCAGCTCCTTCTGGCTGCTGCCAGTGTTGCCACCACCCTCAAATTTCTCCACTCACAGTGGGGTGCAGGGCACAGGGCTGCAGGTGGGCCAGACCAGCTATGGGCAGGAACTGCCTCTGTAGCCCAGAGATCAGGCATGGGAGGGAGCACTGAGCTGCCATGACTGCCAAGGTGAGGCACCCCCCCACCCAATGCCCAGCAGTAATGGGGGCACAACTCTGTGCCACTGTTCCTGCTGTGCCTAACTTTGGCAGGCATGGTGACATGATGCTCCCTTCTGTGCTGGGTCCTGCCCATGGGACCATAGAGGTGGCTCCTGTCTGGAGCTGATCTGGCCTGGCTGCGTCATGCTGTGGGCACAGAAATCTGGGGAGGCACATGCCCCCTCATGTGTTGCCTGTGCACACACTGACCCTGTTCCCCACACACCCACCCCCTTCCCGACTTATTGGGGGGGATGGGACCTGGGGGCAGTGGGTCATGAGTGAGGGGCACCAGCAGGGCTGAGGGGCTGAGGCTTGGGAATGAGGGGCAGGGAACTGGCATGTCAGGGCTGTTCAGTGCCATAAAGCAGCAGAGGGAACAGCAGCAGCTGGACCTGTGTCCTGGTGAGTAAAGGGCCAGGGGCTTTTCTGATTTTCCAAATACCAAAATTTATAGATATTTAGAATTTATTTCACTGTAATGATTGAAGCACTGGTAGGCTTCCAAACTTCTTTAAAATTGTAAATATATCAATAAAACACTGTGTTCAACTGATACCTACCTCTATATATGGTTAGGATTTATGAATAACCTGGTTATGAATAAATAGGATTTATGAACAAGAAAATCTTTATCAGTGCCCTCCTAATAAAAATCCTAAGAGTTCTGATTAAAAAAAAAAAAAAATCCACATTTTTTCCAATAGAACTCTTTGAATTTTTATTAGCAGGGCACTGATGAAGATTTTCTTGGCTGATACCAATGGCAGATTATTAACCAGCCATATTGACCAATACTGATCTGATAGCCCATTTATATGAATGTAGCTGGACATTGTGGAGAGCAGCATCCTGCCAGTAAGTCTGTGGGGGGGAAGGGGCATGGGGGTGCTGCGCACACCCCGGGGGAGGCATAGAGGACATGTGGTCTCCCAATTTGTGCATGGGGGGAGGGCAGGCTGTGGACTTGGGGCCAGGGGCTGAGCCAGCCTCTTTCCAGTGGGGGGGCTGGGCTGGGACTGTGCTCAAGGTGAGCAGGAGTGGGATGGGCTCAGGTGCAGCAGAGCACAGTGCCCCAAACCAGGGTAGTGCTGGGGAGGGGGGCTTGGGTAACTATAGACACCCTAAAATTCCCCACAGCTCCCCCTCCCAGCGCTGGTGCTGCCGCTGCCTGCCCCACACAGTTGAGCATGCCCTGCCCCTACCCGGCATGAACACAACCCTGACACCCCCCCGCCAACTGGGGAGAAGCTGGGACAGCCAATGGCTCAGAGCCTGCAGTTGGCAGCCCTCCCCTTCCCACCTCCTCCTGCACCCCCCAGATGAGCCGTCCAGATGAGCTCAGTCTTGTTCCTCACCCTGGCTTGGCAGCGCCTACCCCTGTCCCTGCCCCACTCACTCCCTCACCATGCGGGCCTCGATCTGCCACCCCATGTCCCTTCCCCCCCCACAGACCTACCAGCAGGATGTTGCTCTCCAAGCTGCTGGACTGCATTCCTGGCTGTGTGCATGATGCGGCTATGTGCATGCACATGGCATTTATCAGTGACATTATCGGCCAAAAAAAGCTGATTACCGATAATGTTAATTTTCCTGTTATTGGTGCCGATCTGATATGCGACCGATATATCAGTGCACCTCAAATATTAAATCAGAGAAATTGGGATTTTTAAACAGGGACAACCAGGTTCCCTGCTTATGACATTGCATTACTGTCATCTGAACCTGTTTAGGGTTAGGCGACATGATGATAAAACACTAGCAGCTGGTATATACTACCAATCCAACCATCATCAGAATTAGGGCAAATAGATTGATGGCAGAGATGGTGGGAAATGAAAACCAGAGAAAAAAAGTTACCACAGAGAAGGGTCACAGTAGCCTACTACTTGGACATTTCTATAGACCAGGGGTAGGCAACCTTTTTTGGCAGGAGTGCCAAAAAAGCCATGTCTACCTTGGAAGGTGCTGGAGTACCAACATGCCAGATCCCGGAGCAGCTGTTTGCAGCCTCTTGGCTGCAGCTGGCCCATGGAGCCCAGTCTGCTTGCAGCAGGGCTTGCAGCCTCCCCGCCACCTGCTGGGAGCAGCTTGGGCTCCGTGGCTGGCAGCAGCTGCTAGAGCCCGGGCTGGTGGTAGTGTGTCGAGCAAAATAACCTTGCGTGCCATGCTTGGCACGTGTGCCGGGGGTTGCTGACCCCTGCAATAGAGAATATATCTTATGTTTTTTCATATCTACATATTTGATTACTGATATCTACGCTCTATTTTTACACATTTTAAAAAAGCAAAACCAAAATAACATCAAGTTTATTCATAAATCCTAACCATAAAATACAGATGTAGACAACAGCTTGTAGTCAATTAAAATTATTCAACAAATGAGGAAGCAAGAAACTTTTTTAAAATGGGCATTTATTGAAACACCTAAGTTATGTTGCTTCCTTCAACTCTGCTGTTTTTCTTACCTGTATATTTAGTATTTCATAACCTCATAACCAACCACTGCCAGATCCCTCTCTACCACGGTGGTGAAAGCAACCACCTTTGTGTCCCAGGCTGGATCTGACTGTGAGGAGCCTGACTATCCAATCTCTAGCCTGGGGCCCCTGTTGAGTTTCATGCCCCTGAAATACAGGATTTTACAATGCAACTGCAACAAGAAACATCTGAAATGTAATAGTTTATGCCTAGAATTGTTTCCATTAACACATTACTGTTTGAATATTTAACACTAATATAGTAAATATTTCCAATATCTGCTATCTGCTTTTACCTGCAGCTAGAACTAATCCAGCTGTTTACATTACACCTCTCGGGTGATGATCAGTTTCTACTATGAAGAAGATTACTTTATGAGAACAGAATGGCATGTCAGGTGCAGGACTTTTAGGGCATTTAAAAAAAAAAAAGGAAAAAGAAAAAGCTGCAGAGTAGAATCAACCATTGGAAAACAGCTTTATTCCTGAGTAGAAACTCTCCCCTAGCCTCTTCATCAAAATCACTAGTAAACAAGCTGCAGCTGCTTAATGCTCTTTCAAGACTATGTCCACTAGGATGCACTGAATCCTGACCTTTACTACTTGGAGCTCAAATTGCAGCTGCTGTTCATCAGCACATTTTATTGATAACTAGTAAGAGTAGGATAAATCAGTTTTCAAAAAAACTCACTCAGTGCCAGGGATTGCATTAACCCTCCCATACCACTGACGTTCTCAGCCTTTTTCAAAGGCTGTACTTTAAAACAAAAGGGAAAGAACTGAAAGGGGAAGGAGGAGAAAGCTTGGCCAAGTTCAGAAAGTGAAGCATCAGTTAATTGTAGTTGATAAACTTCTGTTCTTACTATACATGAAAAACTCTAGTTTTGTACCCGTTTTAGAGAAAGAACACAACTTTAACATTTTCTTTTGAGGCCACCTTTTTCTTTTCCATTTGAACTTGTTACAAACCCCTGACAGCAGCCTTACTGGGCTCTAGATCCTGGAAGAAGAAAATCTGATATTTTAAATTCTTGCTCTGACTCCTAGGTACAGTTGTAGCAAAAGCATGTACTGTCCTGACCCCAAGGATTCAAAACCCGACTCACGGTGCCTTCAGGCAAAGGACCAGGCAAGACAGTAAGGGGAGGTTAAAAAAAAAAAAAAAAAAGGGGACTGGATAAATTGATGGATGATAGATCTATTAATGACTATTGAATGGAATGGTTGGAGATGTTTTCTCTGGCATCTCTAAACCCATCATGGTAGATAGCAGAAAGAGTATTAAACAGGATAGATTGCTTTAGAGATATCCAGTTCAGTGTTCTCTCTCTATAACATCCACTTTTGCCACTGTCAGAATTGACTATTGGTCTGTCCCAGTATGGCACTTGTGTTCTTATGACCAGGCTGCAGCTCCACCAGGCAGCTAGATACACACCTGCTCCATCCCACGCTGGGCCCTTCTTAAAGGTCCCTAATAAGATGACCTGGGAGGGCCAATGGGAGCCACAGGGCTCTGATGTGAAGGCTGTAAAACCCTTCCACTCCCAGTAGAGCCTTATCCTTGCAACAGTAAGTACCTCAACTGTGGATCTCCTTACCTGATTTTTGTATTCCTGATTCTGTGCTGGACCTCCCAGTTTTGATCCCTCGATACTGTCTTGACCCTGACTCTGCTGTTGAACTTTTGACTTGCAGCTCCAGCTCTGAACTCCTGGCTTTCTGGACGCAGTCCAATTATTACGGTACCCCGGATCTCTGGTCGACTGCCCTGCACCCTGGTCTTTAGAGTTAAACACAGTTTAAATAGTCTGCCTCTCCTCCCCTGATTGGTTTAAACCAGTTTAGAAAACATACTATATTATATACAATAGATAAATAATAACCTTGGAAGACTATAGGCAATGCCACCTTGTTTCA